AGGCATGGAGTTAAGATTGCGGAGCATTACTGGCTGGAAGGCATGCGGTAAAGAATGCAGGGCAGTGCATTACTGGTTGGAAGGCATGGAGTAACGATTGCAGAGCATTACTGGCTGGAAGGCATGCGGTAAAGATTGAAGGGCAGTGCGTTGCTGCCTGAAGAGGCCACGATGCCTGTACTCCCAGGCCTGCCCACCAGTGATGTATCCACCCTGGCTTTGGGGTGCCTCTTTGTCTCTCTCTTTGTCTCCTTTTGTGTATTCTTGATATATATGAATCGCCGTCAGGTATCCTCTCCTCATGAACTGAACCCCAATGTCGAGGCGGGTCCCCGACACTATTGCAATAACCTTGAAACTTCTCCCTACTTTAGCTTTCATTCTAAAGCCAAACACCTCATCCAACACACTAGCCACTTAACTATTAATAATTTTTTTTTTCCTTTGTGACACTTCACATCACCCAATATAAAGATACAGACATCCAAACTAGTAGCTGTGGAGTTTATTCCAGTTTATGATGACCCCCATGTATGTCAGAATCCAAGTGTGCTGCATAGGGTCTTCAGTTACTGAATTTTGAGAAGTAGATCCCCAGAATTTTTTTCTGAGGTGCCTCTGGATGACTCGAACTGACAACCTTTCCACTAGAAGCCAAAGGATTAACTATTTGCATCCCCCTCCAGGGACTCCAGATATAAAGACATAGACATATGTGTGAGTTTTTCTTTTCTGCCTATACCTATTAAAATATAAGCTCCATGAGAGCAAATATTTTGTTCCTTTGTGCACTATTATATTCCAAGTATATAGAACAATAATAGCCTATGATATACACTTAAATATTAGTTTTTAAGAGTGAGTAAACATTGATAGATATTGACGTCCCTCCTTATCCCTAGAACTACCTAAGAATTCTGTGGTCCATATTAATAATTTGATCTGATCATGGTTACTTCTAGTTCAATTAATCTTTTTCTCTCAGTCTGTAAAGTTGCATAGCAAGGAATGTTCACTAGGATGCTAAAAGCACTTACACAATTTTAGTAAACATTACCTAACATTATTCCATTCCTAATGAATCGTAGTGCAAATATCTATCTGTGGCTATTGACCTAGTAAATTCTTACCATTACTTATTAATTGCTCAATATGGATTAATTAAAAGTTCTGAGAACCTTAACCTGGAGTCTTTCCATATTTTACTAGATAAATTTATTTTACATTTAAAGCTATTTTGCTTACAAGTCATAGTTGGGAATGTTTGAGAACAATTCTAAATTCCTTTCTTTCTCTTTTGTCTTTCAGATTCCACTAGTCTATCTTCAGGTAAGAAGCATGAAACATCCCATAATTAAAAAGAAAACAATATAAGAAAATGTTCTGATTTGAGAGGTTCATCCAATATCCCAGAAACTTCACTGAGGGAGAATCCTTCAAACTCTCACATAGGACTGAATGATTATAACTCTTCTTCCCTCCCCAGCACCCACCACTACCCTATTTGTCCTCTTTGTAACTAACAAAAGTTTTTATAATTCATTTTATTGTCTCTAATGCTCATAGGTCATTTATAAATTGTAACTAATTTATCCATAGGACCCCAAAGACAATCGCATCACACAATGGCAGAATATCAAATTAGTTACTGGGCTCACGCAGTTGTCCTTCCCCCTCTCGTCAGAGCCCTTCCAGGGCTCCTACAAAGTGGTGGTACAGAAGGAATCAGGCAGCAGGATAGAGCATCCCTTCACTGTGGAGGAATTCGGTAGGAATTATGGGAAATCGGGCAACATGTTTCCTTTGCATTTAAACTTCTAGGACTCAGAATCTGAACTCATTCAGAGTCCTTACAAAATGGATTTTGGAGTAGAACCAATTATATCTAACTCCAACAAGAGTCATGAATATTTTGTGAAATATATAGCTCCATATACTTTGGTTAATTTTTCTAGCAATTTTTAATCTCCAAAAAATATAAACATCTTTGTTTAATGATGCCTTCTAGAACTTTTAATGTTACAGTGATCAGAAAATCCATTAGAGAATAAGATGGATACCTCAGAAAGTAGAGCTACCTTTTCACGGCCCTGAAATATTAGGGAATCATTACAGGGAAACTGAAAATATTAATGTCTCACAAGTTCAAAATCAATCACCAAAATTCTTTTATCTCCATCAACAGTGCTTCCCAAGTTTGAAGTACAAGTAACAATGCCAAAGATAATCACTATCTTGGAAAAAGAGATTAATGTGTCAGTGTGTGGCATGTAAGTTGATTAATTTTTGTTGTTGTTAAATCTTTTGGAGGAATTACTTTAAAAATTCACCATTTGGAATATTTTGGCTGGTTCCTTTTGGAGCAGTGATAGAACAATACTTTAAGCATTTGGGAGTGCCACCATCTCTAGAATTTCCTTCCTCTATTGCCTTTCTATTTTTCCTTCTTTTCTTTCATGTTCTTACTAGCATTGCTATCATGCTTGGGGAACTGTTGCTGGGAAGAATATGCTACTAGGATTAATTCAGAAAGTGACAAAGTTAGCTGCACCAAAAAAAAAATGGAACAGTATAGAGGGGTAGTGACTTTCTCTTCACCAGAAATAATCAACATATATGAGGGAATCCTGGTGTGGCACTGTGGGTTAGTGTGCTGGACTGCAAGGTCGGTTTGAACCACAAGGTTGGAAGTTCAAGTTTACCAGTCACTGCTCAGAAACCCTATACAGGGTCACTGTGGGTCAGAACTGATTCGATGGCACTTAACAACAACAACAAAATTAGGCAAAAAATTAACACATGGTTATAGAGGAAATGCAGTCATCAAACCAATAATCTACCTTACTAGCAAGTATAGCAACATAACTTAGATTCAGAATTTGAAGAGATAGACATAATCCAAATCTCAACTACTACAGTGTCTACCTAAGGCATGTCACATACTTCTCTGCACTGCCATTTTTGCTGTGGAGAGTGAATATTATCTCTTAATATGATCTCGTCCAGCCTTGAAAATCCATGCTCCCAAGTTCCCATGCTCTCATCCCCAACAGTCCAGCAGTATAGTAGAAAGACTAGGCAGGGTAAAGGTTCCAGTCCTACTTAAGGATCACATATGTAAGATATCTACCTATTTATTTGGACCCTTGCCCTAGTGCTGTCTCAGAGTAAAGAATGCCACCAAGTTTAGCAGCTCATGTAACTGATAAACCAATGCTTACATTTAAAAATCAAAACACTGTCTTGAGTCAGTTCCAATACATAGCATTCTTATAGGCCCGGATAGAATAAGACAGAATAGAACTGCTTCACAGAATTTCCAAGGTTTGAAATCTTTATGAAAGAAGGTTGCCACATTTTTGTCCCATAAAGCAGAAGACAGGTTCAAGCCACTGATCTGTGGTTAGCAACTGAATGCTTTAACCATAGTGCCACCAGGGATCCTAAATAGAGATATGTTGTTGTTAAGTGTTGTAAAGTCCATTCCAACTTATAGAAACCCTAGACAGGGTTTCAAAAGAGAAGCTGGTAAGTTTGTACCACTGACTTTTGATTAGCAGTCCAATGCTTATCCTACAGTGCCACACCAGGACTCCAAATAGAGATATTTATTATTGTGTTATGTGCCATCAAGTCAGTTCTGACTCATAGTGACCCGGCATAGGGTTTCTAAGGAGCAGCTGGTGAGTTTGAACTACCAACCTTGTGGTTCACAGTCTAATGCTGATCCTACAGTACCACACCAGGAGTCCTAAATAGAGATATGGTGGTAGTGATGTGCCGTGGACTCAGTTCTGACTCATAGTGACCCTGCACAGGGTTTCTGAGGTTGTAAATCTTTACGGGAGCAGAAAGCCTCATCTTTCTCCTGCAGAACAGCTGGTAGTTTTGAACTACTGACCATGAGGTTAGAGAACCTTGAAAATAAGAAGAAAACCAAAACTCTTGAGAACACAGCAATCATCATACCATATTTATGGCACAATCTCATTTTTGTAAGACGTCAGACCATCTAAGGATAGAGATGGCTACTCATAGGGAGAGGATGCTGGCAGAAGAATCACCATGCTATATAGTTTGTATTCTTAGGTAGAACTGAGAGTACTCATTTCTTCTCTTAATGGTTGTGATTTTTTTTTTCTTAAGAACATTTAGCTACTGTAGCAATAACAATGTTTTCAAAGATGAAATTGGAAAGAAAAAAATTTAGGTGAAAAAGCATGATAAAAGAAGAATACCGTAAATTTCAGCATGTTGCACTGGAGAGTTCTAAAAGAGAAGAGTGTTTATTCAGTTCATGGTATCCTCAACATTGTGTGAGCCCTCAACGTTGCAGAATAGAGGAAGAACAGAGCACAAATATGCTGTCCATAAAGAGGAAATATTAATAGGTAGAAAATGGCGAAGTTCAATGTCTACTTTGGTTCATTTGGCAATATTTTCATGACAGATATACCTATGGGAAACCTGTTCCAGGACATGTAACTCTGAAGGTATGCAGAAATTATGCTAGGCCTTCTGACTGCTATGGTGAGGAGTCGCAGGCACTGTGTGAGAAATTCAGTCAGCAGGTAAGAATTTAAAACTGTTCGTTCTACAGGCTAACAATAGAGGAATTGTTAACAAGCAGTGAGTTGCAACATGGAACTTGGGAAAAGAATAATGGAGAAGATAAGTCTGTGCTGGCTATTGTAATTTTTACTTTTTAATCAGTGACTTAGCACAATAGGAATTACTTATTTCTTTCATTGTCCAACATGGTTGTTCTTGGTCAGTCAAACACACAAAACGACAGAAATTCAGCCATCTCTAATACTTGGCACTTATGAAGGAAAAAGCATAAAACCCTAACCCACCTTAAATGGGAGGATGTTAATTCTGCTTTCTTTCTTTCTATATGCAAGAACATGTCACTTGAGCCCACCTAGATGCTAAAAGGCAAGAAAACAATCTTTGGATAGGCAGCCATTTCACAAGCACAGGCGTGTTCTGTGGGAAGGGGAGCCAGGCTTGGTGAAGCGTTCACTGTCAGTTACAATAAGCTTATCCAAATATGTTTATGGCATTTTTAAAAAATCTCTTTGACTCTATAGAACATCAAACATTGACAAATAAAATTATAAACCAGATACTTTTGTGAAATTAAATACTAATTAGTCCCTGTTGTTGTTGTGTGCCATCAAATTGGTTCTTATTCACAGCAACACTGTGTAGGGTTTCAGAGGAGCAGCTGGTGGGTTTGAACTGCCAGTCTTGCAGTTAGCTATTCAGTGCTTATCCTACAGCACCACACCAGGACTCCTAGACAACACTTATTGTGTCCTCATCATAGAAAATCCCTAGGTAATGTTGTCAAGAAGTTCTTGGGTGGCACAAATGGTTAAATACTAACCAAAGACTGGAGGTTTGGGTCCACCCAGAAGAGCCTTGAAAGAAACTTCTGGAGATTTACTTCCCAAAAACTAGCCATTGATTTTTGAAGTACAGTTCTACTCTGACATACATGTTGTAACCAGGAGTTGAAGTTGACTCAGTGGCAACTTTTTTGTCAATGTTGTCAAAAAAAATACACCACCATTACAATATATATCTATTGTAATACATACAATTTTTTTTTTGTATTTTACTTCTCAGCTAGACAGTCATGGCTGCTTCTCTCAGCAACTAAAGACCAAGATCTTTCAGCTGAAGAGGCAAGAGTATGAAATGACACTTAGAGGAGAGGCCAAAATCCAAGAAGAAGGAACAGGTTTGTGTGCCATATAGGTATGAGGGGAAAACTATGAACGCCGATTTATTTTCTTTGTCATATATGAATTCCAATAGAGAAATCATATAAGAGGTGCGAGGAGATCATCTTTTCCAAAAAAAACTAACTCTTTTTTTTTTTTAGAGCTGGAATTAACTGGAACTGGGTTCAGTGATATTACAAAAATCATAACCAAACTCTCATTTGTGAAAGTGGATTCAAATTTCAGACAAGGGATCCCCTTTTTTGGACAGGTAGAGTATTTTGTAGTTCAGATATCAAACCATGTACTATAACCTCATAAGCTCAACATATCCTACTAAAAACATACCTGGTTAATATTATCTGTTCAGTAAAATAACCAAAGGTATAAAAATATACAAAAATAGGTCCATTCCTCTGTACATTTTTTGTCTGAACAATATATCACACTTCTAAAGTACTTCCAAAATTAGGAGGCTTTTGTTTTGTTTTGTTTGATAGACAACATCGCTCATCCATCTCCTTCTCGTGGTTTATCAGGCAGTCTTCATTTTTATAAAATTTTCTTGTGAGAATAACAAAATCCATGGTTGTTACCTATATGATCTTTCTAACACTGTCTTGTTTATCTAGTGCTAACGTAACTGAAATCTCACAAGTGGGTAGCTTTGCAAACATAAATTTATTTTCTCAGTTTAAGAGACTAGAAGTCAGCTCTCCAGGAAGACTTTTTCTCACTGGTAAATAGTCCTGCTTTTATTGTTTGGTTCCTTGGCAATCTTCATGTGGTATGGCATCTCTCTTCCCCCATCTCTGTTTGATTCTTCTGTACCTGATCTGCTGTTTTTGTATCTCTGGACTCCTGGTGTGACACTATAGGATAGGTACTGGACTGCTAACCACAAGGTCAGTGGTTCAAGTCTACCTGCTGCTCCTCTGAAACCCTATACAGGGTCTCTATGAATCAGAACTGAATCAGGGCACTTAACAACAACAGCAAAAGCAACTGGCTTCAGACACACCCAGTCCTATTCTAATACTGTCTCATTAATGTACCAAAGAAAAACCCTTTCCCAAATGGTATTATGGAGAGCTCTGGTAGCGTAGCGGTTACGAATCGGGCTGCGAACCTTAAGGCCAGCAGTTCGAAACTACCAGCTGCTCCATGGGAGAAAGATGAGGCGTTCTGCTCCTGTAAAGATTTACAGCCTCGGAAACCCTGTACAGGGTCGCTATGTGTCGGAACCGACTCGACGGCACTTAACAACAACAACAACAACAAATGGTATTATAACCACAGGGCAATATAAGAAAAGCACTGGACTGCTAACCAAAAGGTCTGCAGTTCAAACTCATATATGGGGTTGCTAAGAGTCAGAACAAAAGATGTTCTGGTAGCATAGTGGTTACGATTCAGGCTGCTAATCTCATGGTCAGCAGTCCAAAATGACCAGCAGTTCCACAGGAGAAAGATGAGGCTTTCTGTTCGCATAAAGATTTATAGCCTCGGAAACCCTATACAAGGTCACTATGAGTTGGCTATAACAACCATCACCACCATGAATCAGAACAACAATAATACCAAAATAAACCCACTACCATCAACCACTGGTATTGTTGTTGTTAAGTGCCACCAAGTCAGTTACAACTCATAGCGACCCTGTATAAGGCTCCCGAGGAGTAGCTGGCTAATTTGAAGTGCTGACTTTGTGGTTAGCAGTCCAATGCTTCACCTACAACACCACACCAGAACTTTACCACAGGTATAATGGTAGGATTTACAACACATATTTTGGGATAACACAATTCACCCATAACATAACTATGTATGTAATTAAATGGATGGTGTTGTTGTTAAGTGCCAACAAGTCAGTTCCAATTCATAACAACCTTGTATAGGGTTTCCGAGAAGCAGCTGGTGGGTTTGAATGGCTGACTTTTTGGGTTGTTGACAGGAGAGTCCTGGTGTGGTGCTGTGGGCTAATGTGTCAGACCGCAAAGTCATTTGAACTGCAAGATCAGTGGTTCAAGCTCACCAGCTGCTCCTTGGAAACCCTATACAGGGTTGCTATGGGTCAAAATCAACTCAACGGCACTTAACAACAGTGCCACACCAGGAATTCAGTGGCCTTTTATTTTTAAGCATTAAAGACTGGATTGTACATAGTGTTTCATTCATGGATATAATATTTGCATTGTTCTCTTGATAATATTATGTATATATTAAAAAAAAAAAAAAAACAATAAACAAGGGGATAAAATTCTGCAGTTAAGGTGTCCAGATTTAGTTGTTGTTGTTGTTGTTAAGTGCCATCGAGTCGGGTCCGACCCATAGCGACCCTGTACAGGGTTTCCGAGGGTGTAAATCTTTACGGGAGTAGAAAGCCTCATCTTTCACCCGCGGAGCGGCTGGTAGTTTCGAACCGCTGACCTTAAGGTTTGCAGCCCGATTCATAACCACTACGCTACCAGATTTAGTAATCATAGATTTTTCCCATGGATCTATACATCTTCTATTGTTATTTGTTCCTACTGTAAGCAGATGTACAAATGGATCTGAGACCAAAATTCTGAAGTGGCAGTTAGGCCTACCATCACGTGTGATTGCTGTGGATCATGGTCTTCACGGAAATAGTACAGGAATTCAACAGTGGATGGTATAAAGGCCTAGATTCAACAAGGAAATAATAGAGCCAATTTTCAAGTGTTTTGATTATGTTATGACAGCAAAAGTACTCAGGTGCTTTGACCACTTGCTATAAAGGAAAAATGTAGGCATTTTTAATTTTTCAGAAGCATATTGTCCTTTTAACATATTTTATTACTATAACTATCCTATTAGTCATAGGAAGACCATTCACCTCAAGATAAAGAATCAGAACATTGTATGTCTACCCTTGTCTTTGTATGTGCAACCTATAGTTTGCTGGCAAACTTAGAGACTTTTTCAGCAATCATAAATACTAAGCCAAATCTATCTATTATACTTCCTTCTGCCAACAGTAGCTTATGCTGCATAAGGTTCACCATCTCTTACCATCTGAGCCAAACCACTCTTGTGCTGAGTTTAAAATTAGTAATTAGATGGGTTTAGGCCTTTATGTGATATTGATTGCCTCTTTCCATTTTACGTTTTTCATATGGGAAGTACCTCTTTAAATTTACTTGCTCTCCAAAAGATTGATAATCTGGGTTAAGAAGCACTTGTTGTTACTATTAGGTGCTATGGAGTTGGTTCTGACCCATAGAGACACTGTGCACAATAGAACGAAACACCACCCGGTCCTGCGCCCTCCTCACAATTGTTGTCATGTTGAGCTGCTGCTGGGTCAGTCCATCTCATTGGGGGTCTTCCTCTTTTTCACAGAAAAAAGCAAACCTAAAGAAGTTGTTTTACCATATATAAAACAACTAGAGAAGCCCACAGGATAATGTATTAGCTATTGCTTACTTGAGGACTCCTGGTGTGGCACTGTAGGATCATACTGGCCTGTGAACCAAAAAGTCAACAGTTCAAACCCACCAGCTGCTCCTTAGAAAGCCTATACAGGGTCGCTATGAGTCGGAACCGACTCAACGGCACTTAACAATAGCAGCTATTGTTTACTTGTCCATAAGTCTAGTGGTCTGTTACAAAATAAGTGTTTGGGGTTCAAATAAATCTGTCTAATGAGTTTTAAAAAATGTTTTCATTACTATATGATTTGTGTTCTGTGACTGTACAAAAGTTATATGAAACACACAGCATTCTAAAAATACTCACAGAATACTTTGTCAAGTCACCCCTATTACCATCCTCATCACTCTCTCTCAGTTTTCAGTGCTTTGATTTTTAGTATTGATTACTACTGACTACAGATAGCTAGAAGGAGCTCTGGTAGTGTAGTGGTTACGAATTGGGCTGCAAACCACAAGGACAGCAATTTGAAACTACCAGCTGTTCTGTGGGAGAAAGATGAGGCTTTCTGCTCCCATAAAGATTTACAGCCTCGGAAACTCTGTACAGGGTCGCTATGAGTTGGAACCGACTCCATGGCACACAACAACAACAACATAGATAGCTAGATCGACTCTGTGTGTGGGTGTGTGTACATGTGTGCATACATTATACATTACTTGACTGGCATCTGTCTCTCACTAGACTGCAAGCTGTATGCTGATGACAGGGATTTTGTGTTCTACCCTGCTATAGCCCTAGTGCCTGCAACTGTGCCTGGCCCATAGGAAGTACTCAATAAATATTTGTGGTAAGATGGGTGTGCTTGATTCCCTTTTAACTATGATTCATATAACTAATCCATAGTTTTTAATCTTCAGGTGCTCCTAATGGATGGCAAAGGTGTCCCCATGCCAAATAAACTAGTCTTCATCCAGTCAAATGAAGCTAACTATCACTCCAATGCCACTACCGATGAGCACGGCCTGGTGCAGTTCTCCATCAACACGACCAGCGTTACGGGTACCACTCTAACTGTCAGAGTAAGTTCAGTTAGAAGTTACCAATGGCAAGAAGTAACCTTGGAAACAAGGTTACAATTTTTAAAGTAATGAAAATTTCAAATTCTATTTAGTCCTAAGGAGAGGAAAAACTAGAAATTGAACACCAACTTAAGGTCAATTTGTAAAGAAATTAAAAGAAGGTAATGTAGGGTAATGGTTTAAAAGTACAGAGTCAAACAAACTTGATTTTTTTAAAAAACCTGGCTCAATCCTATGATAAAGGCAAATAACTAAATTCTATGTTTCATTTTCTTTTCTGTTAAACAGGTACCATATTAGTACCTGCCTCTTGGGGTTGTAATGAGGTTTAATGATGGAATGCAGATTAACGTACTTAATAAGCCTCTTTTAACTGTTAACTGTACTTCTGGTGTGGCGCTGCTGGTTAATGCAGTAAACTGCAAAGTCGGTTTGGGCCGTAAAGGCTGGCAGTTCAAACTCACTAGCTGCTCCTCAGAAACACTGTAAAGGGTCACTGTAAGTTGGAACCTGACTCAACAGCACTTAGTAACAAAGTAAAATAACTATTAACTCTTATTACAAAAGTTCATTTTCCGTCTTTAGCATCTAGTTTCCAAAATAATTCTCTCCATGAATTATTATTCTTACTTTATATTTCTCCTGATATTTAAATTATCCCTAGATAGCTACTTATGCCCATATTTGATTTGTATAACATAGAAGTCCTCTATACAGCAATATATTTGTAGGTACACAAAGATAGATATGTAGATAAGAACCAAAAATAAGGCATTATTCTTTAACACTTTTGACTGTGGAGCAAAAGATTTCTAGCTAGTCTTTTAGGTAAGACAGTAAATTTATGTAGTTTTCTGAAAGAGTTGATTGTTTATGACACATAATCTATAAAATAATATTGCTTTTCTAATGCATTAGGTCAAACACAAGGATCATAGCAGATCCTGTTATGGCTACCAATGGCTGTTTGAAGAAAACCTAGAAGCATACCACACCATTTATCGTGTATTCTCCCCAAGCAACAGCTATGTCCACCTTGAGCCCATAGTTCATTCACTGCCCTGTGGTCAAACTCAGATGTTCCAGACACATTATATTATGAATGGACAGATCCTGAAGGATTTCAAGGAACTCGTCTTCTATTACCTGGTAAGAAGGGAGATTCATCTTTAAACAGCTTTCTGTGAGGCAAGAAATTAAGAAACACTTAAGACATCATCACTTTGATTTCTTATCTATATCCCTCTTGAAAGTTTGACTTCTCTTGGGGCTAATTATTACCAGTAGCAGTTCATAATCAGCACACCACACAGAGGACAAGACTTGAGGTAAGGTTGCTGTCAAGCAAATTAAATGTCTTTTTATATCCTTTTATGCAGATTATGGCAAAGGGAGGCATTGTCCGAACTGGAACTCATGTACTGCCTATAGAGAATGGAGACAGTAAGTGTTCCCATAATTTTTGCATTTTTGTCCCACCCTGACACATTTAGCCCTAACACTGCAGAAATACCAGGGGTGCTTTCAAATAAAAAGAGAATTTCCACTTAACCTCAATAAAGAATAAGTTAATGGAGGTCTGGGGGAGGAATAATGTTTCTTCTTCTCGCCTGTTATCAATATTGTGGGGGTCTGAGACCGGCTCAGACCACTGCATGGGTTGCTCGAAGGAGAGGGCTAGGATTAAAATCAGGCAAGGACCACCGGCTGATGACCAGTGACATAGTTTATTGTAGCAACGTGGTTTATATAGGACTTTTAGCATTAGGTCATTGTTATTCTACCTAGTTACAATGTTTTCTATAGTACCAAGGATATGATTACCCACCAGGATACCAACCAGGATATGATCACATAAGTATAAGCATTGTTACAGCAACACTGAATCACTCGGTTTTGGTACAATTGAAGTTCCCTTTTCCCAGGATTGTCCTAGTTACAATTACCAATAAGTTTCGATCACTGACATCACCTTAACCAGGTGAAACTTGTCTTCAGGACAATCATAAGAGCATGAGGGCCATCTCAACCTTCACCATTAGATGGCACTAGTGCTGGCCTCCAACACAATATCTTTCTTTTCTCTTCAGGTTATTTGAAATGTTGATCTCCTTTTTTTGATCTATACTTCTTACAGATTTTTTAACCATAAACATTTCCTTCTTGAAATCTAAGAGATTTAAGAACTTTTAGAGAATAAAAAGAAAGAAAAAGTAAAATTTAGGGATACTTCTAGGTTCTAGGTATTGTGCTGGGTCATTTATGTCTTTATATCTCATCTCTCCTTTGAAGATATCTATGATTTATGAAAATTTCAACAGGGTGTTTCCATCATTTACCTGGCTGCTCTCTATGAATATGAAACAATACAAGTCTGTGGTAATTTCACCCGGCTAAATGTAGCCTAGAGGATAACTTTCTAGAAAACCATCAGTGAACAACTTGTATATAGCTCCTTCATAGCAACACAGAAGCACCATAGTAGTTATTTGAAAACTCAATGCAAGCTCTAAAAAATTTATATTGCTGTTGTTGTGTGCCGTGGAGTCAGTTCCAACTCATAGCGACCCTGTACGGGTTTTCCAAGGCTGTAAATCTTTACAGGAGCAGAAAGACTCATCTTTCTCCCGCAGAAGAGCTGGTAGTTTCAAACTGCTGACCTTAAAGTTCACAGCCTAAGTCATAACCACTATGCCATCTGATATAGGTGTCAAAAAATAACTTGAAAGTTTGGATAAGAAGTTCCGGGGTGGGAGGAAAACAGAGAGAACGAAGTGTAGGGAAAAGTGAGTCAAAGTCAATAGTGACGGGGCAGTTCAGAGAAGGATAGAGAGTGCAGTTTGTACACAATAAAAAGAATGTCATCATTTCACTAACTTGAACACAGAGAAGTAGTTGAAATGGTGTATGGCCGTGCATATTTTTGCCAACATATAAATAAATAAATAATAACTTCTGAAAGAGTATAATAATCCTCTTAGAAAAGAAGAGTAGAAAACTTGGTTAATGGAATGTTAGAAAGGAAGTAAATATAAATGTCAATGACATGTCACAACTTCAGATTCTGTTTTCCTTCTCAAGTGGGAAGCCCTGGGTAGTGCAAATGATTAACACTCCACCACTACCTGAAAGTTGGTGCTTTGAAACCACTCAGAGAACCTTCCGAAGACAGACCTGGTAATCTGCCTCTGAAATGTCACAGTGTTAAAATAAAAATTTAAAAAACCCTACGAAGCAGTTATACTCTGCACACCTGGGAATGCCATGGGTCAGAACCCACTCGACATCAACACACAAAAAAGTGTGGTCTAGACTGAACAGTAGCCAAGCAGATGTCTCTCCATACCCTTAGACAACAACAGCTAAAGCTTAAAGTTGGAGTCCTGCTGCAGTACTGCAGGTTAATGCACTGGACAGTAAAGTTGGTTTGAACTGCAAGGTAGGGGGTCAAGCTCACCAGTTGCTCCTCGGAAACCCTATTCAGGGTCGCTATGAGTTGGAAGTGACTCAACAGCACTTAACAACAAAAAACAACAAAGCTTAAAGTAGATGAGACATCAGTATACAATTAATGAGGTTGGAAAGTTTTTAGTAAAGTTTTTTCTAAATCTCGAGGCTTTAGCAATCATAGAGATCACTGTTGTTGTTCATTGCCATCGAGTTGGTGTTGACCCATAGCGACCCTGTATAGGGTTTCCAAGAAGCAGCTGGTGGGTTTGAACCACCGACTTTGCAGTTCAAATGGACCTTGCAATCCAGTGCATTATCCTGCAATGCCACACCAGGACTTCAATCTTATAACAGAAACAGTCATTATTCTGAGAGGGCTTCTAAAATGATTTTGTGCAATAGACTCACTTCATTTCAGCTCTGGAAAGAAGTCTTACCCATGACCGTGTCCTCTCATTGTCTCTGTTCTCCAGTGACAGGTCATTTTTCTGTGTCAATCCCTGTGGAGGCAGACATTGCTCCCACCGCTCGGTTCCTCATCTACACTGTTTTACCTGATGGAGAAGTGGTTGGGGATTCTGCAACATATGAGGTTGAAAACTGTCTAGCCAACAAGGTTGGTGTTTTACATCATAAACTTTCCAACATTTAAAACTAGAAATTACTGTCGGTATCCATTGTTTTATACATGAGGGCATTGAGACCAAAAGAGTTCAAAGAATTCCCTGGAGACACTCAGAAAGATAATGACCTAGTTACAATAAGATTCCATGTCGTCTGACTCCTAGTGTCAACTCTGCAATTATATGGCATTCTCTTTTACCATATTGATCCAATGCAGAGTAACTTGCTGCTTTCTTCTATGATGAAATGTCTAAGCAAGTTTTAAGACTTCTAAAGAGTCAAGAGAAAAATGCAACAGCTGCATTTATATTCTGCATTAATTGAACACCTCACCATGTATTAAAGTTTTTTTAAAAAATGACATATCAAATTAGTAATTTATAAGAATAACTATAATGGTTCAACTGATGGTTCAGAATCAGAGTAAAGTACTATATTTTGCTTGCCCTAGTCTAGATTTAGAGAAAGGAGCAAAACATTTTGCATATGATACCAATCAACACACACACACACAAAAGTCATTATGCATTGAACAAGAGGAACACTCAGAATATGAGAGTAAATATATCGTTAAATAAGGAAATGTGTTTTTCTGACCTTTCCCTGAAACTCTACAGGTGGATTTGAGTTTCAGCCCAGCACAAAGTCTTCCTGCCTCAAACACCCACCTGCGAGTCAAAGCTTCTCCTCAGTCCCTCTGTGCCCTCCGTGCAGTGGATCGAAGTGTGTTACTCCTGAAACCAGAGGCTGAACTCTCCCCATCCTCGGTGAGTTCTCAGCCACCTCAGGTGTCAGAAAGGACCACACAAGGGCTCAGAGCAAGGAGAAATTCCAATCACTGCATCAAAAACTCAAACCAGTTGCCACAGAGTCAATTACAACTCATGGTAACCCCACAGGCTTCAAAATAGAGCTGCAGTCCATAGGATTTTCAAGACTGTGACCTTTCCGTGCAGATCACCAGGTCTTCCTTGGAAGGTACCTGTGGATGGGTTCACACTGGTTAGTAGTTGAGCTCTTGCACCACCAGGGATTCACTTGAGTAGGACACAAAAATAAAATAAAAACAAACCTGTTGTCATCCAGTCTAGTCCAATTTATGGTACTTCCTTGGCTATATTGTTTATAGACAAAGTTTGCCAAGCCTTTCTTCCATGGTACTACTGGTTGGGTTCAAACCAACAAGTTGTAGATTAGCACACAGAATTTTGCACAACCTAGGCTCCTCCTGAGTAGGATGTTCTTGCTAAGTGCCATCTTACTAAAATTTACGCTTATCTAGAAGTCCTGGTGTGGTGATGCAGAATAATGCAGTGGATCACATTGTCGGTTTGAACTACAAGGTCGGCAGTTCAAATTCACTAGCCACTCCTGGGAAACCTTATATATGGCTTGCTAAGAGTCGTAACTGACTAGACAGTTCTTGACAACAACAAACATGTTAATAAGGAACCCCTGGTAGTGTCATGTGTTACACACTGGGCTGTTAACTGCAAACTCAGCAGTTCAAATCTCTCTGTGAGAGAAAGATGAGGTTTTCTGCCCCCTACAGAATCGGGCTGCGAACCGCAAGGTCAGCAGTTCGAAACTACCAGCTGTTCCGCGGGAGAAAGATGCGGCTTTCTGCTCCCGTAAAGATTTACAGCCTCGGAAACCCTGTACAGGGTCGCTATGGGTCGGAACCGACTCCACGGCACACAGCAGCAGCAGCAGCAGCACAGATTTATGTGGCGCTGTGGGTTAATGCACCAGACTACAAAGCCATTTGAACTGCAAAGTCTGCGGTTCAAGCTCATCAGCTGCTCCTCGGAAACCCTATACAGGGTCGCTATGGGTCGGAATCGACTTGATGGCAGTTAACAGCAACAACAAAAGATTTATGGCCTCAGAAACCCTATACAGGGAACCCTATATGGCATGCAGAAGCCACAGGAGTTCATTGTTTTTAGTTTTCTGTGAGGGATATATATATTATATATTATATATATAAATATAATATAATAGATATTATATAACAAGTGTAAGACAAAATGTGTTGCTATAAAATCATTTTTTCATTTCCGTTAAGTGTCGTTGAATCAGTTCCAACTCATGGCAACCCTATATAGGGTTTCCAAAGATGGCTGATAAATTCGAACTGCTGACCTTGCAGTTCATACTGACCTGGCAGTCCAGTGCTTCTCCTACAACACTATACCAGGACTCCTATAAAAGCATTGACACCTTTATTAAACAAAGATGTCAAAGTGTGAAGCTACTGCTTCTCTACTTATTCTCCATCTGGGTCTATAAACTTCTGAAGGTGGTATTTCTCCCAAAGAATTCTGTGCTCTTCCATTTACCATGTCAAAACAGCAATTTTGGCATCCTTGAGGGTATAATTGTGTTCTCCTTAAATGTTATTTAAGTTTGAGGAACTGAAAGAAGTCTGAATGGGGCAAGATCAGAATAGCTGGAGTAAGGTCTCCCAAAGAAATTCTAGTAGGACAGCCCTTACTACCCTTGAAGAAAGGTCAGGTCCTACTGTCATGATGGGAAAAAAATTCTCAGCACAACTTTCCTAACCTTTTTCTCACCAATTCAGTTTCCAGTTGTCTTATAATTGCTTCATAATAAGCCTCCATGATCATCCTGTATCCTTTGAGAAAATCTATCAAGATCACCTGTTTGAGGTCCTAAAAAAGAGTCACCATACCCTTGCATTTAACTGGCCCAGCAAATTCTCTAGGAAGTCACGGTTTTGGATGGACTTTTTTCTGAAAGCCCCTAACATGACTAAGATAATTGTATACCAGAGAACTTGTCTGCAGCTATCCACTGATTACACAGACATATTTAAACACTTTTTTTTTTTAAACTATACCTGTGACTGGATGAACTGGAACCTTAGTAGCAATATGTTTTTACTTATTCAGTGTTCCATGTTCCACAGCTATCCTTAAGACTTTCATTGGCCAGCTTTTTTCAGAAGTAGATTGCCAAGTCCTTATTCCTAGAGTGTCTTAGCCTAGAAGCCCCACTTAAACCTGTCCACCAGAGGTTACACAGCTGGTGTTTGAAACACCAGTAGCATAGCTTCCAGCATCACAGAAACATTCAAACCACTACAGTATGATAAACTGACAGACAAGTTGTGGTTCTCAAATCTGTTGTTGTTAGGTGCCATCGAGTTGGCTTCAACTCATAGCAACTCTATGTATGACAGAACAGAACACTGCCCAGCATTGTGTCATTCTCACAATTGGTGTGATGTTTGAGCCCATTGTTGCTGCCAGAGTGTCAGTTCATCTTATTGAGGTCTTCCTCTGATTCACTGACCCTCCACTTCACCAAACATGACGTCCTCCTCCAAGGACTAGTCCTTTCTGACAGCATGCCCAAAGTACAAGAGACCAAAGTCTCACCATCATCATTTCTAAGGAGCAATCCGGTCTCACTTCTTCCAAAACAAGTTTATTTGTTCTTCTAGCAGTCCATGGTACTTTTAATCTTCGTCAATACCATAATTCAAGTGCACTGGTTCTTCTACAGTCTTCCTTATCACTGTCCAGCTTTCACATGCATATGAGGCCATTGAAAATACCATGACTTGGGCCAGGCACACATATCTTAGTCCTCAAAGTGATATGTTTGCTCCTTAATACTTTAAAGAGATCTTTTGTAGCAGATTTACTTAATGCAATACATCATTTGATTTCTTGACTGCTGCTTCTATGATCATTGATTGTGGATTCAAGTAAAATTTCCTCCAATCCTGATGCCACATTCTTCTTCATATAATCCATCTTCTTAGATTATTTGCTCAGCATACAGACGGAATAAGTATAATGAAAGGGCACAACTCTGACTCACACCTTTCCTGATTTTAAGCCATTCAGTATTCCCTTGTCCTGTACAAATGACTGTCTCTTGGCTTATGCACAGGTTCCTCATGAACATAATTAAATGTTCTGGAATACCCATTCTCCACAATGTTCTCCACAGTTTGTTGTGAACCATATAATCAAATGCCATTGCATATTCAATAAAGCACAATTAAACATCTTTCTCTGCTTTCAGACAAGATCCATCTGACATCAATAATGATATCCCTAGTTCCATGTCCTCTTCTCAATCTGTTTTCCATCTCTGGCAGTTCCTAATGGGTGTACTACTGCAACCATTTTTGAATGATCTTCTGCAAAATTGTACTTGTATATGATATTACTGAAGTCCTGGTGTGGCACTGTGGGTTAATGTGTCAGACTGCAAAGCTGTTTGAACTGCAAGGTCGACAGTTCAAGCTCATCAGCTGCTCCTCGGAAACCCTATACAGGGCCGCTATGGGTCAGAACTGACTCTACGGTACTTCACAACAACAACAACGATGATATTATTGATATTGCTCAATGATTTCCATATTCTGTTGGGTCACTTTTCTTTGAATAAGGCACAAATATAGATCTCTTTCAATTGGTTGGCAAAGTAGCTGTCTTTCAAGTTTCTTGGCATACACAACTGAGCCCCTCCAGTGCTACAAAAGCTTGTAGAAACATTTCAATTTGTGTTCAGTAAATTTTGGGTTTCACCAATGTCTTCAGTACAACTTGGACTTCTCCCCTTTGGTTTTCTGACTCCAGGTCTTTGCACATTTCATTATAATATTTTACTTTATCTTCTCAAACTGCCCTTTGTTATTTTCTGTTCAGGTCTTTTACTTCATCACTTCTTCAAGTAGCTTTAGTTCCCTGCCATTTTAATGACCATTTGCTTTCTTCATGTATGCTGTTTTTTATGTCATCCCACAATACCTCTGGCCTTCAATTAATGTCTAATGCATTTAAATCTGTTCTTGAAATACTCTCTAAATCCAGGAGGAATATACTCGAGGCCACAATCCTGGTGTGGCACTGTAAGATAAGCAATGGACTGCAAGGTCAGTTTGAACCAAAAGGTTGGCCGTTCAAATTCACCATCCACTCCTCAGAAACCCTGTGTAGGGTTACTTTGAGTTGGAACTGACTCCACAGCACTTAACAACACAAAAATATACTCAAGGTCATATTTTGACTCTCCTGGATTTGCTTCAATTTTCTTCAACTTCAGTCTGAATTTGCATATGAGTAATTGATGGTCTCTCCTTGTCTTGTTTTGACTGATGATATTGAACTTCTCCGTCATCTCTTCCTATAGGTATTGTTTTTAAGAGTCATCAAGTCAGGTCCAACACTCATAGCAACATTTTATAGGGTTTCCAGGGCTTTAAATCTTTGCAGGAGCAGAAAACCTTATCTGTCTCCCAGGCAGCTGCTGGTGGACTCGAACTGCCAACCTTGTGTTCTCAGTCCAGTGTTTATCCTATAGAACACTCTCCCTACAGATGAAAGAGGCCTCAAATATAGCAGACCTCAATTTCCCAATTAATAAAGTTTTATTTCATTCTAGTATGAGGCTAGTGTTTGCCTCAGAACTGTGTAATAAAGTATTATGAACCTTGAGTACTTAGAATTTTTTTCCCAAGCGGTTACAAATCAGGCTGTGAACCTTAAGATCAGCAGTTCTAAACTACCAGATGTCCTGCAGAAGAAAGATGAGGCTTTCTGCTCCAGTAAAGATTTACAGCCTCGGAAACCTTGTACAGAGTTGCTAGGAGTTGGAACTGACTCAAAGGTACTTAACAACAACAAAACAGTTAAACATCTTCAAGTGAAAACAATATTTAGAAAAAATGATCCATGACTTCTCTATACATTATCAAAGTTATTGTTGTTGCTGTTGTTAAGTACCATTGACTTGGTTCGAACCCACAGCGACCCTAATAGGGTTTCCAAGGAGCAGTTGGTGAGCTTGAACTGCTGATCTTACAGTTCAAACTGACTTTGTAGTCCAGCGCATTAACCCACAGCACCACACCAGCAATACGAGTACTAAAAAAATGAGTAAAAAGATTGATTGTGATTATTCTTGTTCTTTTCTCTCTGCACTTAAAAGAATGAACTACAAATAAGTTTTCCCTTTGACCTTTGAATTTGTACAGGTTTATAACCTGCTCCCAGTAAAGGACCTCACTGGCTTCCCACAGAGTTTGAATCAGGAGGAAGATGATGGGGACTGTGTCAATCATCACGTCTTCCTTCATGGAATCATGTACAGCCCAGTACCAAACACAAATGAAAAAGATATGTATAGCTTCCTACAGGTAAATTCCAAAACTATAGGTGGTCAGTTCTTAATGCAGGTGAAATATTATTTATGGGAAACACTAGGTATTTTAATGCCTTCATAGCATAGTTGAGGGTAATGAAGCCATAAGAAGTAAAGTGGGTTACTAATTGAAGCAGATCTGCTAATAGTGGCGGGGTTAGGGCTGGAACCATTTTGACAACTAATTAAAATATTTTTTTATTCAAATTACTTTGAGATATCAAAACAATGTCTATGGAAAGAGTTTAAAGAACACAATTAAATTACCTTTATGATTATACTTACATCCCTTCTACAGATGAAAGTATTAAACTTTATCTTAAGACTAAGTGGACTCTGTTTGTTAAGCTCAATAAAGAGGTATGTGTCTTTAAATTTTTTATAATATTTATATACTGATTGGGTAATAATTTATTTTACAGGATATGGGTTTAAAGGCATTCACCAACACAAAGATTCGTAAACCCAGAATATGCCCACAGCCTGAACAGTATACAATGTTAGCTGCTCCAGGTAAAATGATAATAATAATAATTGAAATTAACTGTATACTATTAAACCAAGTAATTTTTTAAAAAAGAAATGAAATGTGATCAGATGAACAAAGATGAATCAGATATTAATCAGATATTTATTTGTATGATTTTGCCATATCATGGTTAAATTACAATAATCAGTTGGTTGCAGATAAGAGTTTACCAAAAATCAAGGAAAACATTCATTAAGAATCAACCAACTATGTTGAATTTACTGTGAAGATTATTCTGTACTTTGATTTTATTTCTAAATTATGTACTACAAATCCTCTATACCCTAAGATATATAGTGAACACATGTGTATAGATAGAGATAGAAAAAGATAGATAGATACATAAATTATTTTTCTAAAAAGTGGTTGGTAAGCAATTACTAGCACACCATTAACAGAAAGCAAATAGGGTTCTTCTGACATAATATGGAATATTGTTGTTGTTAGGTGCCATCGAGTTGGTAACAATCTCATGCACAACAGAAAGAAACACTGCCTGGTCCTGCACCAACCTCACAATTGTTGTTAAGCTTGAGTCCATTGCTGCTGCCACTGTGCCAATCCATCTCATTGGGAGTCTTCCTCTTTTTCTCCAGCCTTCCACTTTACCAAGCAAAATATAGAATAGTCTTTTTTAATCCTGAATTCTCTCACTACTGTCAACTATTTCCCAAAGTTCCTGTCTGACTCCCATGTCAGGGTTTTTATTTACTCCCTCAGAAGACTACACTAAATCAAAAGCTCACTCCTGCCTACCTTCCTAGCGCACGTCATAGCACTCTGGACTGAGCATAATATGTAGTAGTCATATGGGGCGACTTTCATTCTTTGCCTTTGCTCCACAGACAATCTAAAACCTTCCTCTCTATATGTTGTTGTTTTTCTGTCTCCTTCCTCACTTTTTCTAGGAGTTGCCTACGGACTGCGAAGAGCCCAAAACTTGATGGAGGTCGAATATGATACAGACGCTTCAGAGTCGTACACAGAGACAGTGCGAAAATATTTCCCTGAGACATGGATCTGGGACTTAGTTGTGTTAAGGTAAGTAATTTCCTTTATTCGAGGGGATGTCAAAAGACTCATGGAAAAATGGAATTAAAGGTAATGGGATGTTTCCACAAACTCATTCTAGCCCTCTTGTATAAGATGCAACAATATAAACCCCTCTCAATTTTCAACTCTTAGCTAATTTTTCAATATCCAAGTGCTTTTTTTTAAATACTTGCTGTTCTCAGAAAAGATTGACCTTAAATACTTCTGTTAACTAATCTAATTGTATCAGAGCTAAGACACTTTGCACAAATGTAATTATAAGACTTCTAGAAAATGAACATAAGGACTATATGTAACCAAGCACTGCACAGATAAATTCCTATATACAACTGTACATTGATGAACAATTTTGGGTTAAACACAGACTAGTGAGGTCAATTACATATAATAATAGTATAATTAAAAACCATAAATCTATACTCAGTGAAACAATATTTTAAAGAATTGAAGAACAATCTCAAATTACATATTTAGTTTGTAACTATATTGTCTATCATAAATTACAACTGCAACAGTGTATCTATAGGAGTTTCTGCTATAGACTAGAATTGAGAACAGAGTTGGAAGGGAAGGATTTACATTTTTCTATCTCAAGTCTGGATTATGCTCTCCATTATTGCTATCTCTACTAAGTGTCTACAAATCATGACATTAGAATCGTGTGGTTCTTTTCCTAGAACAGCTAGTTACCTACCACTTTCTGTTCTTCACATTGTCATCCTCCTCAGCTCATCGGGTGTGGCTGAAGTAGAAGTAACAGTTCCTGATACCATTACTGAGTGGAAGGCTGGAGCCCTCTGCTTGTCCAATGACACTGGACTTGGTCTCTCTCTTCCTGCTACTCTGCAAGCCTTCCAGCCGCTCTTTGTGGAGCTCACAATGCCCTACTCTGTGGTCCGTGGTGAGGCCTTCACACTCAAAGCCACTGTCTTAAACTACCTGCCCAACTGCATCCGGGTAAGGACCTCTTTCCTAATTGGAACACAAGGTAATGAGTACATTAAAAATTGCATTACTAAGAATACTGACAAACTCCTGTGTACAGACTTGTTTACCAGAGGAAGAGTACTACCAGGGAGTACACATGATTTATTAGTATGTACTCTGCTAGGAGAACTGAGGGAATGTTCAGGAACCCAAGCCAAGGAAATAGAGCTCCCACAGACAACATTTCAAGGTTACCTTCCTTTTCCTCTGGTCCTACCACATGAAAGAGCAGGTTACTACAAAATACTAAGATACTCAATCTTCGTTTATATCATCTTTAACATATTTGACAATCTAAAATCAATCTAATTTTTTATACAGCTTTATTTCAAACGTATTCTCCTTCTGACCGCCTTCTCCCCCTAATCTCATTTGTCTGTGTCTCTTGTGTATTTTCAGGTCCATGTGCAGTTGGAAGCCTCTCCTGAATTCCTAGCTATTCCCGTGAAGCAGGAACAAGCATCTCACTGCATCTGTGGAAATGAACGGCAAACTGTGTCTTGGGCAATAACCCCCAAGTCATTAGGTGATGGGCAGTCTCCTAGGCACAATTTTCTACTCTAGAAATTGCATAAATTAATGGTAGCCTTCTATCCAGTGCTACTCATCCCTTCCCTTAGTTAGAGACCCCACATGGTAGGATTTTCTCTTTGCCTTTCATTCTAGGGTGTCTTTAAAGACATCTCTGCCTCTTTCACCTTCACTTCCACATCAAAGACTCAGTATCATTATCCTCTAGTTTATGCTGCTTCCATCCCTGTGTTTTTATATGGGGGAAAATACGGTTTTTCAGAACATAAAATATTCATTAATCTTGGGGTTTGGAGGCATGCAGCAAAAAATATGGTACTCATCTCTATGGGCCCTTTTTACAGGAAATGTGAATTTCACTGTGAGTGCAGAGGCACTGGAGTCTCAAGAACTGTGTGGGACTGAGAAGACTGTGGTTCCTAAACAGGGAAAGAAAGACACAATCATCAAGCCTCTATTGGTTGAAGTAAGTAAGTCTGCCCATTGACAAGATCACACTGAGTAGAGAAAAACAATGTCGAACCCAGCTGGGGTTCCAAGTTTAGGTAAGAAGTCAATTTAAATAATATTTTATCATAGAATGGTTTACAATATTCTCTCTTACTGTCTCTTAATGTTCTACTACTTTTCTCCTCTATCAACCTGTCTCCTTCATATTTCTTATGCTTATATTGTTGTTGTTACATACCATCACATCAATTCCCATCCATAGTGACCTTGTACAGGGTTTCTGAGGAGTGGCTGGTGAGCCTGAACTGATGACCTTGCAGTTCAAACCAACTTTGCAGTCCAGCGCATTAACCAAGAGCACCACACCAGGTCTCCTCTTCTGCTTATAGAATTCATTTATATAATAGATTTGAAAATTAGTTCAACTTCTTATCTTCATGATCAAGAAATTTATGGAGCCCCTTTTATGGGGAAAATCAAATTCCACTTCCCACTTCTCTGACACCAAACTATAAGGACCAATGACAATCATCTCAGTTCTCTCCCTTCTGTTCCACTTCTGTTCTGATACCAGCGGCACATGCAGCACTTCTTTCTCTGATCCTAACCACCCAGAGGTAGGTCAGAGCTCTTCAGTTCAAGAGTACCGTCCTCCAGACTGCCACATCTGCCCAAGATCTCAGGTGCCATTCAAGCTTCAGAGTCCCCTCAACACCATCATTTCTGACCTGCTGACTACAAATTTGGAGTTTCTCACTACCCTTTCAGGAAGCCAGCCATAAACTTGGAGTCCTCAGGGCTGTCATTAAGTCTGATCTGCTGGCTCCCACTACTCCCTTTGTTGTTGTTGTTGCTGTTGTTGTTAAGTGCCTTGGAGTAGGTTCTGACTCATAGCGACTCTGTATAGGATGTCCAAGGAGCAGCTGATAGATTTGAGCCCCCGACCTTGCGATTAGCATTCCAGTGCTTACAGCACCACACCACTACTCCCTGTTGTTGTTGTTACGTGTCATTCAGTCGGTTCAGACTCATAATGACCCTGTATAGGGTTTCTGAGGAAGGGCTGGTGAGTTTGAACCACCAACCTTGAGGTTCAAACCAACATTGTGGTCGAGTGCTTATCCTCCAGTGCCACACCAGGACTCCAATGATCCCTAGGGTTCGATAATTCACTAGAATGACTCACAGAACTTGAGACAATGCTATATTTATAATTAGAATTTTATAATTACAAAAAGTATACCAATAAAGAGATGCAAGGGCTCTCAACACTTCCATGTTCCAAAAGGGGCGTGGCATGCTCCTCTCCAATGCACATTGTTATCTTTCACAGCCAAAAGTCTGTGGAGCTTCTCTATCCAGAGCTTCACTGGGGACCCTTCCTCCCTGGATCTGCTGACAGCACACAGTGGTTTTCCTGACCTGGCCAGCTCCCACCCAAATGTCATCTCATTAGCATTAACTCTCAGATGTGGTCTGGGGGGCCTATAGATAACAAAGGTACCTCAATTACTCAGGACAGTCATAAACTTTCAGATTTGACCTAGAGGCCTGTAGATAACAAAGACACCTACCTCAGTTATTGAGGAAATTCCAAGGTTTAGAGTTATCGCTCAGGAACCAAGGACAAAGGCCAAATTGCTACATACAAAGCAATTCTTTACCCTACACCTATCAGCACACTCTCCCTGAATGCTCAATCCAGTCTCACCTAGACTTTTTTCTTCTTCCACCCCAAGCCTGAAGGAATAGAGAAGGAAGCCACGTTCAACTCCCTGCTCTGTCCATCAGGTAAGAGTAACCATGATTAAAATAACAATGACTAAAATTTGTATATTTGAGTCTCGAAAAACTTTCATATGAGGGGATTGTGGAAAAACTCCTTTACCCTTTAATTCCATTTTTTCACAAACTTTTTGAAGCCCCTTCATATATTACTTCTAGTCTTTCCTTATAAGTAAGACTTGAAGCACCTGTGAATACATTTGGCAAGAGAAGTAAGTAATTTGATCAGAAGACTATCCCTAGCCTATGCATTCTGTCACCACCCATCTCTCAGTTTGGATTACTGTGGTGGTTTGAGTGTTGCTAAAATAAGATGCTGTGCTCCTGATGTAGGGCTCTGTAGGATCAGCACTAAACTGTGAACCACAAGGTTGGCAGTTCAAACCCACCAGCTACTCCTCAGAAACCCTATACGAGGTCACTATGAGTCCAATTCAACAGCACTTAACAACAACAAGGCACCAGAAATGATGCCAATAGGACCCATAATATATAGGTTTCAGCAGAGTTTCCAAACTAAGAAAGACTAGAAGACAAGCCCTGATGCCTTACGAGCCAGTGCAAACCCTATGGGTCACAATAGAGTACTGGCCAACATAGTGTTGAGAGATGAGCCCCAAAGCTGGAAGGCACTCAAACCATACAGTGGCTGCAACAATGGATTCAAGCATACCAACGATCATGAAGACAGCACAAAACCTTTTGCCCTGTGGTAAATGGAGTTGCCATAATGCCTAACAACAACAACATGCATTCTGAAACTTTCTCTCTTGCAGTACCTATAACAAACACTGTAGTGTCTTTCTAACCAGTATAAATTGCTGTTGTTAAGTGCTGTTGTTAGTTCTGACTCCAGAGTGACCCTGCATAGGGTTTCCAAGGAGCAGTTAGTGGGTTTGAACCATCAACTTTGTGGTTAGCAGTCCAGTGCTTATCCATACACATACATACATACAGTCAGCTGATCTTCGACAAAGGTCAGCAGTTCAAATCCACCAGTGGATTCCTGGAAACCCTATACACGGTGGCTATGAGTTGGAACCAACTCAATGGCACTTAACAACAACAAATATAAGATCAAATGTCTGACTCATAGCCACCCTGTATAGGGTTTCTGGGAAGCGGCTGATGAGTTTGAATTGACAGACTTGTGATTCAAACCAACCTTGAAGTGCAGTGCTTACCTTACAGCGCCACACCAGAATTCCAAGCAATTTTTTTTTTTTCAAGAGTTAACAACTTCCCATGTTCACTCCCCATTGAGTTGTCTTCTATAAAAATATTTTCTTTGTGAAATTTGATGGAAGGAAGGACATATTGTAGAGTTCAGGAGTATTTTGAAGATTTTGCATTTGCTTATGAATACACACAGATTTTTAAAGTTTATACAACTATTAAATAAAGAGATTAAGCATGAGCACTATCTTGTGATAAACAAGCTAACTACAACAAAATTGCAACATTTTGGACACTAGTGGATTTGTAGCTGTCTTTTGGAGCATGACACTATATTGGTTTGGGGCGTGAGGAGTAAGAATGCCTGGGTAAAGAGACACAATCTGGAAGGTTCAGAATTCTAATCATCCAGTATATGAAAAACTGGAATACTAAAAAGGGGATAACTTTTCAGGAGATGTTTAGATCTAAGGAAGATATATAGCGGATGTCATTTTCATTATGGCCAATTTTTTTCTCAAGGTGCTGAGGTGTCTGAAATATTATCCCTGAAAGTGCCACCAAATGTAGTGAAAGAGTCTGCCCGAGCCTCTGTGTCAGTGTTGGGTGAGTCACCAGTTCTATGGAATTTACACATCAAATAGATTCTACAATGTGTCTTTTCCATAATTACTCAAAATAACAATTGTGATTTTAATTTTTTTCTTATGTCCTCCTTTGAGCTCAGACTTCTGTCCCTGAAAGACTCACCTTTCCTAACAATCCTCATTTCTTCACCTCAGCTTATTATTGTTAATGGTTGTAATAAATGATGAACTGTAGGTTTTCTGACTTTCCATCTCTCCCATTTCCTAGGAGACATATTAAGTTCTGCCATGCATAACACACAAAATCTCCTCCAGTTGCCTTATGGCTGTGGAGAACAGAACATGGTCCTCTTTGCTCCTAACATTTATGTTATGGATTATCTGAATGAAACACAGCAGCTGACTCCAGAGATCAAGTCTAAGGCAGTCGGCTACCTCATTGCTGGTGAGTCATTGAATGAATGAGTGAAAACTTCACAATGTTTTCAGTGGATTTCTCAGAAAGCTTAACTACTGTTCATCTATATGCAGTAATACTTTAGTAGTTCATTGCATGGTGACTATCCACTGTTCAACTTCCAGTAAAATGTTGAGAACTCAGAGTGTTCTAGTGTTGTTGTTGTTAAGTGCCGTCGACTCAGTTCTGACCCATAGCAACCCTGTATAGGGTATCCAAGGAGCAGCTGGTGAGTTTGAACCACTGACCTTGCAGTTCAAATGGCTTTGCAGTCTGGTGCATTAACCCACAGCGCCACACCTAATTCGGACTACAAAATTTAGGAAAGTTCACAGAAGAGGCCAAGGTATTTCAGAAATGTCTCTAGTCTAATGATGCACATTAATCTGCCATGTTATTTCATTAATATTTCCATTCCAGGTTACCAGAGACAGCTGAGCTACAAGCACCATGATGGTTCCTATAGTACCTTTGGAGAGCAATACGGCAGGAATGAGGGAAATACATGGTAAGGAAAGGAACATTTTTTGAGATCCTATTTTTCTGGAAACAGCCCTATAAGATATGTATTATTAAGACTTATGTTGCTGCTGCTACTTAGCTGCTGAATTGGTTCTGACTTATAATGACCCTGTATACGATTTCCAAGGAGCAGCTGGTGGGTTTGACTTTGTGGTTCACAGTCAAGTGCTGATCCTACAGTGTCATATACTAAAATCAATGAAGCAGTAAGCAGAAAAGCTAAGATTCAAACAACAACATTGGACTTGCTCTCTAAATTAATCCTGTCAATAAGCTATTCTTTCTTAAATAGTTTCCATAACCATGAGTTTGATTTACTGTCTCATTTTGTTTTACGGCATTGCCAGTGAACATATTGTCAACTTCTTAGCAAAGCATATCAACTTCCGCTTATATTATGTTTTTTAGACCATGCTCATCTTGACTGAAAATAAATCCAATAGCTCACAAAAGGAAAGATCTTACAAGGAGACAATAGCATAAAACATTACAAGTCCTTAAGGCAAATATTGAAAGAAGCTATTACATATAGGGATGTCCTGGTGTAGCACTGTAGGTTAATGCACTGGACTGCAAGATCAGTTTGAACCACAAGGTCTGCAGTTCAAGTTCACCAGCTGCTCCTCGGAAACACTACACAGGGTCGCTATGGGTCGGTATTGACTCAAAAGCACTTAACAACAACAACATTACACAGAAGAGCTGCATAGAAATTTCTATCATCTACAGAAAGGAATCTGTAAAGAAAAAAGGAGATTTATAATTTTAGTCAAAAAACTAAGAGAAACAGAAATACTTAGACTCACTACAGCAATGAGAAAATCAATCAGGAAGGAAATTCTAGAGCTAACAGATGAAGCAAGGACTTAAAAGAGATGGGAGCTCTAAGTACACAAGAATTTCTAGGGGAGAATTTACACCAGTGTAAGAAGCATAAGACAAAGTCTGCTACCATTATGACAACATAAATAGCTTTAGTATCCCATTCTTTCTGTCCTCTCAGGCTCACAGCCTTTGTATTGAAGACTTTCGCCCAGGCTCGACACTACATCTATGTGGATGAACAACATATTACCCAAGCCCTCACCTGGCTCTCCCAGAAGCAAAAGGACAATGGCTGCTTTAGGAGCTCTGGGTCACTGCTCAACAATGCCATTAAGGTGAACTGTTCCCAAAACTAGTCTTGATGATATCCGTAAGAGTGATGAAAGGAAATAATACCATAAGAATCCCTAAGGGAAGTTATCAGGAGAAAATAAAATCTGTAGCACCAAGGAGGAAGGATAGAATTTAGGTTGGTTTGAATAATTTGCCATATAGTAATGGATATGGGTGAAGATAAATTCCAGGACACAGCAGAGTAGAAAGAGCTGATTAAGAACATATCGCCAAAGTTGAATTACTCAAATCTTTCTCTAACATTTCCAGGGTGGAGTTGATGATGAAGTGACCCTTTCTGCCTATGTCACCATTGCCCTTCTGGAGATCCCTCTGCCAGTCACTGTGAGTACAATCTCATTCCCCTGATGAAGCATATAGAGTTCTTGATGCCATGAAACTGCTCTCTTGCTGTCTGAAATGCCACCTTACTAAACATCCAAGCGTCAACTTGCCTTCTGTGCAATGCCAAATGCTTCCTAAATGAGCAGGTGTAGGAAAGATGTACACTTTTCCAGTGATGGCCACTACCAAGTTCTCCTCTCTCACCACCACTGGGACAAGGGAGAAGGAATTCTAAATATATGGCCTCTACTTTGACTTTTTAAATGTGAAAGCATTGTTACTGCCATTAAGTCATTCTGCCAGTAAGTCACCCTGACTCATGAACATCCAGGATCATCCATAGAGTTTTCACAGGCTGATGTTTCAGAAACAGATTACCAATCTGGAAGCTCCACTAAAACATTTTCAGCATCATTGCATCATGCAAGTGTCCACTGATACAGAGGTGGTGGCTGTGCTGGAGGAGCATTGGCCAGGAATATAACCAGGCTCTCCTGCATGGAAGTCAAGAATTCTACCATTGACTTACCAACACCATCACTGTGAAAATAACAGATCTTTCTAGTAATAAGTATGAAGAAAGATGCATTTGAAAAGCATTGCTGACTCCTCGCTATTATCTGCGTTTACCTAGAATGCCAGCAATAGCTCAGAGCACCCCTGTTCTCCCTTCACAGCACCCTGTTGTCCGCAATGCTCTGTTCTGCCTGGAATCAGCCTGGAAGTCAGCCCAGGATGGCGCCCATGGTAGCTATGTCTACACCAAGGCACTGTTGGCCTATGCTTTCACCTTGGCGGGTAACCAGGACAAAAGGAAAGAGGTACTCAAGTCACTTGACGAGGAAACTGTGAAGGAAGGTGAGCACACAAGCTGAGAGCTTTCTCATATCCCACATTCTCTGCATCACTAACTGTACTGCAAAAATCCTATACCCCTATCTTTTGCAATGTCTGTTCCTTCTCCTGTTTGTCTGTCTCATTACAAAATCTAGGAATTCTTAATTAAATCACACATCAAGAGAGGAGAGGTAGTACAGTGCAGTAGTTAGGAGCTCGACCTCTGGAAACTGCCTGAGTGTGAGTCCTAGCTCTAGAACGTACTGTTGTTGTTGTTGTTAAGTGTCGTCAAGTCGTTTCCAACCCATAGCGACCCTGTATAGGATTTCCAAGGAGCAGCTGGAGAGCTTGAAGTGCTGACCTTGCAGTTCAAACAGCTTTGCAGTCTGACACTATAACCCAAAGCACCACACAGAACATACTATAAGTGTATGGAAAAATCACTTGGTTTTATTTTGGCTCCCTTATCAGTAAAATGAAGACCATTATAGTAGTCCCCTCATAGGGTCATTGTGGAGTATAAAATAACAGCACATATAAAAGAGAACATGATGCATAGTAGGTCCAAAGGGGGTTTGGAAACGTTCATGGAAAAATTGTATCAAAAGACAACGAAACTTTTCCACAAACTTTCAAAGCCCCTTTGTACAGTGGAAGTATTATTACTGAAAGATCCATTCTTATACCAGACCCTTACTTGGCACATCATATCATCTTAAACGTAAGTAAGAATTAATGGATGTAACCCATCTGTGGATCAATTCTGGTATTTTATGCTCATTTTAAAATACCAACAATGTTGACAAATTGACACATAGTCACATAATGCTTCAATGTATTCCATGGTCTATATGAAGAGCTCAAGAAATAGAAAATAAAAACATAAATGGTAATATGTCCAAAGCATATACTACTTTTCTTTTTTTATTCAGTATCACTAATTGTTTATTGTTAAGATATATTGGGACATATTTCAGGTAAACAAAAATGCATAAAGAGTAAATTAATAAATCCCTATATATGAGTCCTAGGGAGCTCTGGTAGCGTAGTGGTTACGAATCGGGCTGCGAACCTTAAGGTCAGTGGTTTGAAACTACCAGCCGCTCCGCGGGAGAAAGATGAGGCTTTCTACTCCCGTAAGGATTTACACCCTCGGAAACCCTGTACAGGGTCGCTATGGGT